CCATTGTTTCAGTGTCTAGAAGGAAGAAGAATTTTTTTTTTGAAAATCTGGCCACCCCTAGGGTTGCTGAAAGCCAGAGCCACAGTATAGAGGCAATGCTGTAAGCAAGCGGGGGACTTTGGTCAGACCCAGTATGGCAGTTCTTATATTCTCATGGTCCTGAGCTCTCTTGACAATACACCACAAACATAAACATAATAGTGAGCTAAACATAAGTGAGGCATTAACAATGGCTTTGCTTTTGTTTGCTTTTAAAAGAGCAATTTATAAATGGATTGTGTAGTGGACAGTGATCACCCAGCAGTCCATACTGGATTCAGGCTGTAGTCAGTACAAGTTGTCCCCTTCTGATGGCCACTTAGAGATCTTTCATAGAAGGAACTAGTCATCTTGGTCAAGGTTCTGATGGATAGATGTCCAAATCAAGAAAAACAATATGCATACGTGCACACACGCACACATAAAACAACCCTGCCTGCACACATCATAGTTGATGCTGAGATAGCATGGAGATGAACATGAGGAAATAAAGAGGAAGAATGAACTCTGCTGACAATTACTGTTGGCAGTCTCAGCTGAAATGCCAAAGAATGAAGACTAAGGACCCATCTACAAGGAGGATCATGATGAGGAATGCAATTGCAAAACAAATGTATACAGAATCCATTCCCGGCCTCTCACAGTCACAGGGTTTAGTGTGGTTCAGAAGCATAGTTATAGGAAAACCATGATGCCTTGTTAAAATTAGCAATTATTTGTATTACCATAGAACTCAGAAATCCTAGTCATAAATCAGAATTCCATTGTATAATGCCTTGTACAAACACAGAAAAAAAAGCTTCAAAGAGTTTACAGTGCAGGTATGACACAGATAGATACAGACAAACAGGAGAGTACATGGAGAAAATGAGGCAGAATTTCTCAGCAGGATAGACTGGGCTCAACATATTTTGTCAATTTTATGTGGGCTTCATATCAAAGGAAGATCTTAAGGAGAGATGCAAAGAAGTATGATGTTTGCAGGAAGCTCCTCCTAAGTGTGAACCATGGAAAAAACACTAAGGTGGCTGCTCAAAATTTAAGAAGTGGGTAATGGAAGATGGCATGATAGGCTGATAAAAAGCAGCCATCAAGCAAACGAGAGATGATAGGTGGCATGAGGATAAGCTGTGAAGGTCCTTGAGCTGAGGGCAAGAAATTTATAGTTCAAGCAGTAGAGAAGGGCAGTGGAGGAATGCCAAGAAGAGTGACTTCGTCAAAGTGCCAGCCTAGTAAAATGATCTTTGCAGCACCGCTTTGAAAGTAGATAAACATGGAATTATTGCATGTGATATCACAGGTATGATATTCATCACAGTTATCCAGATGCAGTTGGATCTGTCTGAGAATTTTAGCTGTGTGGATAGGCAAGGAACGCCACAACTTAGAAATGTTATGCAGAAAGAATCTGCAAGATTTAGGCATAACCACCATGCGAGAACCTAAGGAAGTCTTCTGGTACAAGATGATGCCCAAGTTATGGCATGGAGGATTTATTTAAGTCAAAAAGATTTAAATAACCATTTTTAATCCTGATTTAACTCAGCAAGCAAAAAACCCCCCTGAACCTAGTCATGAATGAGTCTTGAGTTTTTGGGGGGTTTTGCATTATTACTCTTTTAGTTATTTTACTAAAGAAAGATTGACACTCATTAAAGTATCTTGATATGCAACTAATATGGACTTAGCACTATATTTGCTACTTTTTCCTAACCATGAAAATGTACTACATCTGTACATATTTATTTAAGCAATTACATATGTTAACAGGAACATATTCAAATTCATAATCTTTACATTTTATACATGCTAGAATAAGATGCATGATGCATTTATATGTTTACTATTCATTGATCAGTAATTTATTTAGTCATGATTGTGCCAGGATGCATTTGAATGAAAACTGGAATTCAGTTAAAATGCACAAAAACTTCATTTTAAAATTGCTCTTTAGTATTAGATAAATGTATAGTTAAATAAAAATATCTTTAATTTGCTAATTACATGTACTTTTTATATAACATGTTTTGCATTTAATTCTTAGTTGATTTATTAAACAAATGAAGTATTATGTTTAATTAATAAGCCAAACTGAGTTGATTGTTTCAGGTCATTATGTCCTACTATTATGTCTTATATTTTAAAACTAATAGATCTTATCTTCTCAGACCTTACTTCTGTTCATATATTAGAAGAGGAAAGATGAGCTCTCCTGCTTTTTCAGTTCCTAACTCATTTCTCAACTATGAATGGACTAGTCATTGAAATAAACTAGTTGAATAATGTGCAGTGAGGAATATAAAATCTCTGCCCCTGCAGAGGGGGCTACTGCAGTCAATTGAGTGTTTTAGGACTTGAACAAACTTCTTCCATGTGCTTCATCAGTGACTTCCACCAGTTCAGTGGTTAGACTTTCTTTAATACCTCAGCAACAAATACATTCTGCTTGAATATTATTATTTAAATTATTTGAAAAGATTGTAGAATGTTTGGGCCTTAAATCAGATGGTTTCCATTTCAAATTTATTTTAAATAGTCTTACTTTTAAAAAAATAATTTAAATTTAATTTAAAACAAAAGTCATTTAAATAAGTCAATTTATTTAAACTGATAATCCCATTTTTCATGTTTTTATAGCTTTCTTTATCCATCCTGAGTAGCTGAACTCAGATCCTCAATATGTAGAAGTCAAACTCCTATTTAGGCTTCTGACTCCCAGTGAATAACTAAATGGGAGTAAAGTTAAATAGGAGGTAGCCATCTGCTTACATCTGAGCATCTGGGTAGAGGTTCCCAAACATAGATCTGCTTTGTACTGTAATACACCTTTTAAAGTATTGGCAATTTGAGAAAAACCTGCATTGTCCTGTGCACTGGGGACTTACTGGACCATACTTGTCTGGAAACTTCCATAAGTTGATCGCATTTCATTTCAGGTAACCACCTTTTCTCAGAGGACATCAATTGATAAACTTGCCAAAAGCTAACTAGTACCTGTGCCTGAAGAGCAATCTGTGCATGTCTATACTGAGGACAGCACAAGATGCTTCATTAATTGATTTAATTTCTGCAGAGCTGGGGTAGATGATCCTTTCCTTTAGCAGCTGGTGTAATAAAAGGACCAGTTCTTGATTTAACCAAGGCAACCATAGGACTGAAATCTCTCCTCTGGCTTTTCCCTCCTATTGTGTGGGGGAATTATCCAAATCTGCTGTCACAACCTTATTTCTTAAAATAAGTGGTTATTATTCATTTTTCTCTAGGTCACTCCTGATGCCTTTGTTCTCTGCACCAAAGCAAAAATAATGGCAAAAAAGGGAAGCTAAAGAGAGTTTTGGGGTAGTGCATAAGTGTTGTAATGCCTAGATTTGCACACAAAAATGCTTGTTGCTATAGAAGAGGAAATAAAAGCTTTTCGCATATATCATTCCTCTTCTTGAGACCCCCTGAGTTTCTAGAGAAAGAAGTAGGAGAAGAGGGAGATAACTCCTGGGTTGATTAGCAAAGGTAGCCCTCCATTTAAGAGATGACAAAGTTGTTGGAAGTATCATATGAGTAAGGACATAAAAATCCATAATGCCATAAGCTTAGGTTGGAGATAAAGAACAAAAAAAAAGTAAACAGTATAAATAGACTAAAGCCAGGTAAGTTTCCAGGCTCCTTTAAATGACTATAGGTGACCATTAGGCTCAATTTAACTATCCATAGACCCCTGTGTTGGTGGAATCCTGATTCTGAGATAGAATAATAGAAAAGTAGGGCTTGAAGGGACCTCAGGAGATCATCTAATCCACCTCCCAAGGAAGAGTGGAGATAGGAGGGTGCATGGCCCATCACTCACAGAGATGAAGCAGTGTGACTGTCATCTAATACATGTGTGCGTGTTGCACCTACTAATGTTATAAAGTAAGAGAGTGGGGTGCAGGCAAGAAGATCCAGGAATGGCCAATTGATACATGGAGTGTGTGGCTGTAACGTTTTTATCAGAGTGTAAGGGGAGATATTGTGATGCCAATGTAGCTATTGTTAGCAGTACTCTAAGTTTGCACTTTGCTCCTATATTTTCCCCAACATTATGCTTGTCACTGACAGGCAAGCAATGCACTTGTGATGTTGATGCCATCCTTACTGTTGCATAAAATGCTTTTCAAAAAGGTCAGAAAGTTTACCTTGGGGCTGTAAAAGTGCTGGGCTGGTATGATGGAGTAGATAAAGCTTTCCATCTGTCTAGCAGCTAGATATTGAATAGCAACCACATGATGTAGAATTTTATGTAGACTACAAAGTCCACATTGATTAAGGAATTATTGATTTTTGACACCACTGTCTGCATCTGCAATTATAGCTAAAGTACATTTACGAGGGAGCGAGCAATGCCCTGCCAAATAACATTCTGTTTAGTTTAGCTTCAGTTCTGCCTGAAGAATAGAAATATGTCAGAGAAGGTACCCAAATAAAGTTGTCTTTTCCAGGAAGACTGCCATGGCACAGCATAGTGGGCTACCTCTTGGTGAACATTTCACCCATGGTCAGTTTGGGTAACCACGGCTGAAGAAATCTCCCATTTCATAGGTTTAGATACTGAACTTTGTGGTCTGCTGCTTTCATTGGTGGTGATAAGAACCCAGGAGATTTTTCTTGAGGGGGAAATGGTGGTCTCTAAATTCTAATACCAGCTCTGTTTCCAGCCACCGAGCCAGGCAGCACTAGTGAGGTCCACAGTGAACCTCAGAAGATAGCACAGCTCAGAACAGGGGGATAAGTGCAACTGAGAGAGTGTCCTGCATTCAGTTGAGCCATGCTTCTCTGGGCTGTTGCTTTGTTATAAAGTACGAAATGAGGGACACTCGTCTGATTCCCGAGAGGATAAGCTGAACCAAGTAGCTATTGCTCTCCAGCTTGTCATTGATTGTACCTGGCATATGTCTGTGTCAGTTGGCTTCTGTTCACTTTGTTTATAGAAAGTACAGATAAGTATCCAGAAACACCGGCATCCCATGCTCCACCACCACCTAAGTCTAAACCTAAAGCTAAAAAAGCACCGATACCACCAAAAAATGTCACTGCTGCTTCCACCACCACAAGCCGTAAGAATAATGAAGCATCTCATGTTAAAAAAAAAGTCAAGGCACCTACTAAACAGCCCCCTGCCCCACCTCCCAAGCCAACAAGCCACAGTGCAAATCGAGAAGCTGGTGAGTACAGCACAGGCAGTGCCGGGTGCATGTGCATGGGGATGCTTGGCTTTGATTGTTCCTTGCTTGAATGGTAATGCATTAATAGACATGCCCCTGTTGGGTGACCTGGTGCTCCACTGTGCTTATGGTTTTTTCTGTATAACAGCACTCCCTAAAGAGGACTCATCACTTTGCTGTCTAACAAATGTATATGCAAGGTCATATGGTGATGGTGCAACTACAAGCCAAGGACACAGGGAGGTGTTGGGGAGATTTTGGAGATGACCTGGAAAGCCAAATTCATGTGGGTTGCTCTAAGATAAAATTAGTCTTGGAAATAAAATTTCTTATGGGAATAACTACAATTCCATCAAATTTGAAAGGAGACTATGAGCTCTCAGGATTTAAAACCATAAAAACCTTCAAGCAGTCTTTCTTCTAGCCAGTAGGATAAATTTTAGCTCATTGGAAAAGACCAAGTATTCCTTCAGTTGACTGATGGTTTGTTAAGATACGGAATACCTTGGCTATGGAAAATATGTGCTGCCAGCAAAGTGGCAAATAACTGCAATATAACAATGACATTACATGAGATAATATAAGCAGTCAAGCCTAGGACTTGAATATCCTTTGAATTTAAATGGTCATAAATTATAGAATGACATAAATTTAAACTATTGGAATATAACTAAAGCACAAGTGACTTTATAACTGATTCACTTGTAGATGCAGTATTCTGACTCCTACAGCACTTGCATTTTCTGTCCTCTCAAAAGCTCACAATGCATTGTCTCCATTTCTTCTCTCCAAATACATCCCTGTTCATTCCTTGCAAATGTTGGCAGATTTTTAGAGCATGAAACCTATCTGAAGGTACTACTAAGCTGCTCAAGTTTTAATAATGACTGTGTCATAAAAACATCGTATTCACGAACTTCACATTAGCTGTCCTTGCTACATCAACTGATTGCAAGGACAAACATTGTGATAACCCAGAATGCATTACTTGTACTCCTCATCCAGGTGGAAAACTAAGTTCCTTCTTGGTGAGGGAACACTGACAAGGTAAAGCCCACAAGGGATTTAAGTAAAGATGGGGATTAAGACATCAAATATTTCACTAATTTGCTTAAGACAAGTGCTATTCCTTGGGTCAGCTTCAGCCTTCAGGAACATTTCTGCAGCTCCATAGAAATACTGGGATTTCTTTGGGTATAAGTGAGATAAATTTGGTATATTAATACATACTGTACCAATCATTTATTTGGACATTAGGCACTCAGTGTTATTTTAAGATTTGATGGATATATTAGGTGATCTGGTTTTTATAGTTCTGGATTTAAAAATGTTTAGCACAAGATAGTCAAGGTAAGGCATCAGGTATGGCAATTCATAAGCTACCAATGGAGTTGGTTGAAAGTAACATTTTACATTACAAACATCTGACAATGGGGGAAATAGTTTTCTTCTAAACTTCCCATGCAAAAACTCTGTTTCATAAAAACAGAAGTGTTGCTAAGGTGCTTCATGAGACATGTAGTTTCAGTGCCTACATTCCCATTGTCCTCAATAGGCTGGGCTGCCACGATAAGGAAGTGCACTGTGGAAATCCCTGCCCATCATGTTATGACAGAATGTATCATCCAGCCAGGGAGCATAGCCTATAAAGGGGATTGAGGACGTGTAGCAATGGAACAATAGTTCTCATGTGGTGTCAAAGCAAAGCATTTATTAATGGTACTATTTCAGGTTCTGTAAGTAATACGTTGCTTTTTACACAAAACAACATTTTCCACAGGAAGAAGGGACTTGTTGTGGGGGAAAAAATAATGAAAACACAATTTTCCAAAGGAAAAAGTTTTGACATAAAACTTTTCAACCAGCACTGACAACAACAATAATTGATCTTTCTGACCCAGGGGGAGGAGATCTCTTCAGAAGATATTTTGTCATGTTTTCCAGCTTCATTTCAAGGCCAAAGAGGTTTTGATAATTACATCTTTTTAATGGAGACACCTTCAGAAGTTGACCTGGTGATAATCATAGATTGATGTACATTATTTTGGGGTTCTTCACTTCAAGCCTGAGGCTAGTTGATGTTAAGTCTGTACATTAGTGCTTTGTTAGATAAAGGCCAAAGTGCTCAACACATTAAAGGACTGAGTCCTTTGTAAGCAGCCTTCATCTTCACCCTCACAGAAACTGTTCTGCTAAAAATAAATGCAAGATGCAGCTATCCTCTGTTTTTAGTATGGCTCCCACTACTTGTCTCAAACGTGTTTCTTCAATTGACTCGTGAGTTAGTTGCCTATAAGACAGTGCTTACTTGCAATACCAGCGTTTCAGGGAAGTTCATATTAATGCATTTTATAGTTGACTTAAAAAGAGAGCAAGTGATTTGCCCACGGTGATAAAATGAAACTCTAGAGATTTTTTCAGCTGCATAGAAGAACACATTGCTTTCTAGGTGCCAGTATCCCAAATAACATATTAGAGGGGAAAATAGCATAATATGCTTGATTATTATTTTCCTATTTAAGATGTGAAGCAAACTATGTATGAGAGTTATTTTTAGATCATGAGCTTATTTCATGGTAATAAATTTGGTCAATAGCTGTATTTTTGATCCCAGCATAATCTGCTCCTTTTAAAAACACTTAAAAGTAGAGTATGTCTTACAGTGGATTTTTATTACACATTTTTAACCTTTTATTTTACTCAGAAAACTAAACCACAAATTTATGTGATGCTTACAATACTTTCATTCACACTCTTGATTTTAATACATTTTTATTATAGCAGAAATGTTTGACTTAGCCAATATTTTGATGGAAAGGATTTGACTATATATTTTTTAAAAGTGAGAATCAAAATTCTTGGCCACAACTCCCAGCTAATACACCAGGTGTGTCTATACTGCAGTCATGTTGGCATGCCCAAACTAGCTTTGATTTGCTTAGTTCAGGTGAAAATGCAGCAGCATGGATTCCAGCAGATTCCCATGGTTTCCTGGCTGGTATGTGCAACCTGTGCTGAAGCCTGCCCCACACAGCTTCACTGCTGTCATTAGCAAAGCTCACAAGAGAAAAGTTAGGTTTGGGACACGTAGACATGCTGCAGCCCCATCTCTCTTGCAGCATAGGAATGCCCACTGATTAACTGTGAAAAAAACCTGTGAAAAACACGATGCTTCTCTGTGCCTTAGTTTCCCTGTCTAATATAAGGGAGAAGAGTTTACAAGTACCTAGTAAAACTGAATTAAGTAATGTCCATAAAGTGTATCTACTGGTAGATACTCATATGACAGTGATGTAAAATGAAATGATGAGGTTCTCATACCCAGGCAAACACAGGTAATCGGAAAGGTCACTTTTAAGGGTTGTTTTTAGCTGTAGACCATTTAGGGCTAAATTTGTTAGCTTTCTTTAGGAGCTGGCATTGTTTGGAAAAGAGAGACACAAGAGTTTCCACTGGAGCTAGACAGACAATAAGTGTTTATTCTCCTCAGAGTATATGCCAATAATGCCCACTGATACTTGGCTTGTGGACATACAAGACCACAGCAGAATGTACCACACGTTTAAGAGCTGTGACTTACGACCCTGATCCACAGACACAGTAATAACTTATGAAAACATGATAAAGTGCCTAAGTGACTTAAAACTCTAACAGTACGTCTTTACTGCCCCAGTACAGTGGCCATCAGTGCTGTTCTGAGGCATAGGACACCCTCTCCACGTTTGTTACCTCTTGAGTCAGAAGTAATGTAGCTGCTTAGGTGCAGTGCTGCAGATGTGCCATTAGGCCCTGCCTCAGCTTTGCACTAAGCCAGCTAAGCTATTCCCAGTCCAGGAAATAGTATGCACAGAGCAGGTACAGTGTATATCAGTACAACACTGCCTGGTATCAGTGGCTCATTCTTATCATGCGGTTAATTCAACATGCGACCAGGTGCTCTCCCATGGTTGGGAGCCCCATCAGGCAATGGGGCTCTCAGCCCCAGGGGTGCACTGCAAGCTTTCCCAGCTGCAAGTCCCACAGCTGCTGAATCTCACAGCTGGAGTAGCATTCCACACGCTGCCCCAGCTGTGAGCCTGATCAGCTGCAGGGCTTGCAGCTACGGGAGCTTGCTACTAGCTAGTGCAGGGGGAGCCTGTGATCACAGTCTAAGGCTCCCTCTGCACCAGCAGTAACATGGGATTGGATCTGATGCTGTAGCATGGCAGGAGCTGTGACTGTGTGGGTGGCGCATCAAATCCTATCACACCTTTACCTGAACATCTAGAGGGGCCCTTAG